CATGAACACACGAACCCCAATCACCACAGATCACGCACAGCCCTATATGAACACATGAACCCCAATCACCGCAGATCACTCACAGCCCTACATGGACACACGAACCCCAAGCACCCCAGATCACAGCCCTACATGAACACACGAACCCCAGTCACCCCAGATTACTCAGAGTCCTACTTCAACACACCAGCCCCAATCACCCCAGATCACTCACAGTCCTACATGAACACAGGAACCCCAATCACCCCAGATCACAGCCCTACATGAACACACGAACCCCAATCACCGCAGATCACTCCACTCACAGCTCTACATGGACACACAAACCCCAATCACCCCAGATTACTCAGAGTCCTACTTCAACACACCAGCCCCAATCACCCCAGATCACTCACAGCCCTACATGAACACACGAACCCCAATCACCGCAGATCACAGCCCTACATGAACCACATGAACCCCAAGCCCTAGATCACTCACAGTCCTGTATCAACACACAGGCAGTTGGTGGGAAGCGGGGTGCTGAAGGGACTCGGTATGAGCCTGGGAGCTAAGCTTGCCAATGTGGACACACCTGTCTGCTTCCAGGTGATGACGGAGTCACAGCGCTGTGGGCAGGGGCTGGGCACACAGCCAGGAAGTCCCCTTCACACTCCTGTCAGGGGACGGTGGGGAGCTGCAGACTCCAGGAAGGAGGGGCGGCCCGGAGGCCTGGGCAGGACCGAGGACAGCAGCACACGCAGCCAGGGCGGAAAGGAGAGCAAACCAGCTGTACTGACACCAGGGAGGGCCACAGACTCCGCCCCCACAGCCCCAGCAAGTAGGGGGCACCTGCAAGCCCCTGTGTGACCACCCTATTGGGAAAAAGGAAGGAGGGGATGTCCTGAGTCAACTGGGGGTGACCCTGTGATGCAACAGCTCGCCTGGGTGTGTAGGACTGAGCCCCACCAGGAGCGGGACAGGCACGGCTGAGGCTGGGTGCCCTGCCCTCACCCTGCATGGTGCACTCACCTCGTAGTGGAAGTCCATGCAAGTGAGGTCTCGCCAGCACTGGTCCCCCCGGATCTTGATCAGGCCCTGCAAGGAAGACAGCAGAGGGAGCATCAGGTACGGGGCTGGGGGTGCAGCAGCCCCAAAAGTAGCAGGTTCTCAGGGCTGGAGGTGCGGCAGCCCCGACGGGAACCACTTCCCAGGATAGTCACGGGGTGGGGGCGTGGCGGCCCCGACGGGAACACCTCCCCAGGACAGTCACAGGGTGGGGGCGCGGCCGTCCCGACGGGAATACCTCCCCAGGACAGTCACGGGATGGGGGTGCGGCGGCCCCGACGGGAGCACCACCCCAGGACAGTCACGGGGTGGGGATGCAGCCGCCCTGACGGGAGCACCTCCCCAGGACAGTCACGGGGTGGGGGCACGGCGGCCCCGACGGGAGCACCTCCCCAGGACAGTCACGGGGTGGGGGCGCGGCGCCCCGACGGGAGCACCTCCCCAGGACAGTCACGGGGTGGGGGCGCCACGGCCCCGACGGGAGCACCTCCCCAGGACAGTCACGGGGTGGGGGCGCGGCCGCCCCGATGGGAAAACCTCCCCAAGACAGTCACGTGGTGGGGGCGCGGCGGCCCCGACGGGAACCACTTCCCAGGACAGTCACGGGGTGGGGGCG